TCCCAGACCCTTTTGGTGGGAGGACAGATTGAATGGACATGTTCCCAGGAGTCTAAAAAGATGGTGGCAAATCCCTGTAGTCAAGGTGTTACGAGAKCATCCTCACCTGAGCATCAACCTGCTTGCATGCATCAGCTCCGGGGCAGATGTGCCTGGGATTTGGGGACCCCAGGGAACCAGAAYAAAGAAGCAGAAATTTATGAGTAGGGAAGACGGTAAGAAGGGGAAAAGAAGGAGCGGGAGAGAATAGGCAGAGCTGCGGCGAAGGTCACCTTGTTCTCTGTTTTCCCAGAATTGAGGGGTGGGAGAAACTTTGTCGCAACAAAGCTTCCTTGGTTCTCTGTGTCCCTTCAGGTGGCCTTTATCTATCATCTCTTTGTTTCTGCTTACCTCACCATATTTTATCTTATCTGATTCAAAGTTGGTGAGAGAAGTTCGACAAGAGTCACTGACCTCCCAGCGCTCCCAGAAACGACTGTCCCGAGTGTCCCGCAGTGGGGCTGTGATGCGTCAGGACCCGGACAAGTCCCCCCACACCAAGGCTGCTCCCTCCATTCCACGCCACGCCCTCCTGTCCCGCCCCTCAGGCATCAAATACCAGCAAGACCTCAGAGGGGTGGATTTGTCCCAGATAAAACTGCCCCAGGGTGCTATATCATTTCCTGTGTAACCTCTGCAAAACTCAAAATGTGCAGGACAGTGAGTTTCCCAGTCCTGGACTAGAGTCTGGATTCTGCAGACTCTATTAGAGAAGGACAATAGAGAAACCAGCAAAAAGGTATGTCAGATTTTGCTGAGTGCCACGTGAGACTTCTGCCAAAAGAAGTGGTAAGAGTTGTCAAATGGCAGTATATAAAAAGAAAGACTTTTTCTACCTTCCCTTTGGTTGCTGTTAGAAAGTGGTATTTATTGTACTTTGGGCCAATTATGTTACTTTATTAGAATGGCTTCTTAAAAAACGAGTATATAAGCTTCCCTAAATTAAAAATGTTTACTATATTTAAGTTTAAATTGTCTTTTTTTTTAAAACAAGATACTATAGGTTCATCTTGAAATTTATAATCTAAAAATAGGATCTCATCAAAATACTCTAACTATTCTACTCTGGGCATTGATATACTATGTATTTACTATTTATGGCTCTCCAGATATGGTAAATGCTGAACCAAAAAAAAAAAAAAAAGCATTCAACTTTATTGATAAGAATAGTTCCCTGTGAAAAGGAAATCATGTGGAAAAATATGAGCTAAGAGTTTGTTGGAAAAGTAACTTAGCTTGATGTTTCTGAGGACGAGACATCACAAAAATCAGTAGTGGAATGGAAGATATATACAGGTTTAAAGAGAATCACAGAAATAAAAAGAAACAATAGTTATAGGCTTGCAAATCCTTTTGTTGACAAAAACCAAAACCAAGGAAATCCTAAATTCAATAACTTGATATTATACATTGTTGTGAACCTTGTGGACAAGAAGAGTGTGCACAGCCACTCGGCCTTTCCCAGAGCTCAGGCCTGTGAAAAGCTTGCAAATGATCAGACACTGACTTTTTGACTCAGAACCAGGCAGGAAACCTTAGTTGCTTCTCTCCCCAGTAGGAAAGCATGCTTTGCGTGTGTCTTGAGGCAGGTACAGATGATGCTGATTTTATTTGGACTTTAGTAGTGGTGCTAAATGGGTATGAATACAGCAGACAGAAAACTTTAGAACCAAGGATTTTGAGCTTTTCTGTGGCATGAGGCACACAAAAAAATAAGGGGATGATAGTTTTGAGGCAAATCAGATGGACAGAGGGTCAAAGTGACAGAAGCCTGGGGGTCTCTGTCCTTTATCCTTTTTGTTCTGCTTGGTTTTATATATATATTTTCCCCTCAGGGTGACCAAGTTACTCCTCCCCTATTTGTGCTTGATTCTCCTTACAGAACCCTGTGAGCTACTCCACTCAGCAGTCGCCATGCAGCCTGACCCTAGCTTAAAATTTGCGATGGGGTGTTCCAAACACCAGAGGAGTGAAATCCCTAGGTGTCTAGCACTGGCTCTTTGGTCTCAGAGCTGACATGACCCGCCCCTTCCAGGTACACCGGATGCTGTGTCAGGATCCTGTGACTGGCCACCGCTCAGATGGGTCAGGCTTCTGTGGGTCAGGAGCAGCATACATGTGACACAATCTGGTCGTCGTATGCGGTCCTAACTTGGATTGCTTCAGAGCGTGAAGGATTCAATTCTCCACTCTCCCTCCTTAACTCCCCTCTGTTCTTCCCATTCCTTGAAGATCATCTTTTCCTAAGCCCCGGCTTCCCTACCTGTTGCTCACCTTGGTGGTCTCAACAGTTTCTTTCTCCTTTCTCCTTATGGGGCCTGGGATTCTTTCCTCCTTTGCCCCAGATTTCCCTCCCCATTTCACATTCACAGATAACTCCTTACAAAAAACACTGATTCCTAAGCTTACTTTTTGTGCATTAAAAATTCGACTTGGGCTGGGGTTGTGACTCAGTGGTAGAGCGCCTGCCTAGCACTGGYGAGGCACTGGGTTTGATCCTCAGCACATTAAAAAAAAAGAACAAATAAAATAAAGTTATTAAAAAATTCTTCTCTTGCTGTAAACCTTGGCAGMGCCTCCATCTTTTCTTCCAAGGAGTCTCCTGTTGACTTAATAAGTGGCTATGCTAATGCTAAGACGGGGAGAATGGAGTCACTGGCCAGCTTTCCTCCGTAGATACTTGTGTTTTAGTAAAGTTTGGGTAGTTTCTGGAGAGCAGTGCCCTGGTCAAAATGAATCATGGCTACATAGCTATAGTTCAGGAGTTCCCACATTCTTTGCTTCAGATCATACAAGGTGGCACCATGAGCCCATTTGTAGGATGCCCTTATGCTGCCTCTTTCCAGTCATGGAGAAGACCCTGCTGTTAATGCTAATCTCCTTCTTGTACAAGAACACTGTCTGGAGCATGTTGATATAATGTGTGTATGCCTTCTTCAAACAACAACTCAGAATATGAGGAATTTGAGGTTTGGCTCACAGATTTCAACCAGGAACTAAAGGGGCCTCCACTTTCGGAAAAAGGCTCCAGATATCAGATGGTTGAGAGACAGTGTCTAAGTCATAAACCAGCCCTTAGGGCTTTTTGGTTCTCTAGGTATCATCCTAGTGATGCATCAGGTGATCAGAAATTTTAAACTGGTCCTTTGATCTCAGCTTGTACACTGAATAAAGATTTCATTTTATTTTCTAATTTTTGTGTGAAAGATTAACACGAATTATCTATTTGCAAAATCATGTTCATAACTTTCAAAACTTTATCTTGAAGTAGTTGTCTACTACCGACTCCCCATTTTCTTTTCTAAAAGGACTTGAGCCATAAATTTGGTCTCATATTAAATCCCACGAAGAGTTTCTATTTTCATACTAATATCTCTACTTCTTATTTTCTTGTATCAAATAGCTACAACTCAGTTTGTTTCATTTTTGCCTCATTGCTATGATATTKGTACTATGTGCTAGAGTATATACAGTGTGATGTAATGCTTGCACTCTTAGGGAGTGGGCGGCTGGAATTCTAACTAGGAAGCTCATACTCCAGAGGTAGCTACTTCTATGCTTTGTTACTTAGCACAATGCATTTCAGATAGGAATGTTTTAATTGGAGAAATTAGAAACTTGTTAACTAGCATGATGAATATTAGAAATGAGTTCTCCATGGTAAGATAATAATAACTCAAGGAACATGGGTTGACTACTGACATGTTCGAGAAGGGCCTCACCCTCGCATGGACGCAGCACCTCTCCTCGTAGCAAATGATGCTAAATGGCCCTGTGTACAGTCGTGAACCTGGATGCCTGTCCTAAATGTGATAGAACTTGGCTTCTTGCATTTTGGCAGCTGTCATAAGTTGATATTTTTTGTTATGCAAGAAGGTGATTGGAGGACCTGAAAGAATAGAGAGGTTGTAGCTTTTCAAGCTTAAAGATTATTTTGACTTTTTTTTTTTTTTTTTTTGGACTTTGTTTCGGATTTCATCCAAGACTCAGTTTCCTTGTTACCTGGTAGGGAAATTGTAGGGTGGTGGCTGACAATGATACAACTCAAACTTCAATGCCTATTGTTACCTGCCAAAAGAAACCAAGAGCTGTGATTGACAGAGCAGGCATAGCTTGGTTTGCAGCACTCAGTAAGACTGTGGAAATGGATTTCTTGCATCGCAGTGGCAGAGCACTGGTGCGTAGGGTTACTATTCCTCTGCATGGCAAGAATGGTTTTCATTTCTCTGGTCTTATTTTAGTTGTTCTCCKATATTGTGCAACTCAAATCCTTTTTGAAAAGAAGTGGAGAGATCTAAATGAATAATGAAAATAATTGAGCATTCCTATTGGTTTCTTTGGGCTGGGGGTGCCCATGGCTTTTCTCTTTACWCTTGGCTTATCTTGAAGTGTCACATCAACGTGTGCTAACGAGACCCAAACACATCATTATAGAGGCTCATAGAAGGGAAGGGAAGCTTAGGGGATGGTGTAGGAGGCTGTTTCTAACTAGTCACGCTTTAGTACCACTTTTCAAGGCTGCATCTAAGCTCCTCACACCCAACTAGAGGTTTTTCCCCTTTGATACCATCAAGAAGCAATGGAGCCAAGCAAGGGCACTTTAACCTCCAGGTATGATGGACAGGACCGTGGAGGCTAGCAGCCTGGGGAGAAGCAACAGGTCCCGAATTCAAACCTAGTAGCTCCTCCACACATTGTACACYTGTGTGATTTCTGGAACACTGAGGGAAAATGAATGCTGAGAACTGATGGACACACCACAGGGCTCCACACGTGGCTGCCTCCTCTCCAGGTTTCTCACTCCAGTCCAGTAGCAAAAGAGTCAGAGAGTGACTCAGAGAGTTAGTAGGAACTGGTCTTGCTCCGGAGGTTTCCTCACCCAGGTGCCCAGACCGGCTTTCTGAAAAGCCTTAAACAGCTGTTGTTTAACAGACTGGTAGGTGTGAGCCCCCAGCTTGGCCTCACAGTACATGGATGGCGTATCTCCATGGCTTGGTGTCCATGTGCTCAGCTGCGGACAGAAGGAGAAAAAAGAAATTAACCACCAGCACAAATAGGAGACTCTACCAAAGGAGTTTTTAGCCCAACACCAGCTCTTGGGCTCAGTGTTTTCTTTTTCTTTCTCTCTTCCTTTAAAACAAAAACCCAAAATATTATAAAAAGCAACTGTGGTGCTAGTGACCCATTCCTATCAGGGAATTCTCTGGAAAACTCAGTTATGAAGAAAACTTCATCAGAAGTGTGAATGATTTAACAAACATGTAACATATAATTTGCCTGTTATTAAAAATCTAGACTCTGTGGCTCAATGGTAGACTGCTTGCCTGGAAAGAATGAGGCCCTGGGTTCAATTCCCAGCACAAGAAAACAAAAATCTCAACACTGTTTTTTCTTTCTGGAGGAGGATTAGGGGCTCAAAATGGGGCAGTGGCCATGAATGACTATGGGAATAAACATCATGGCAGGCAGGAAAGAGGAAGGGCTTTGAGTTATTTTGTTATTTGACCAAAGGAYGAAAAAAATATAATGGGTTCCCTATCAGCCTTCTAAATTGTAACAGGCAAAGCTTTGGAGCCCACATAAGGCAGGGGTCAAATATGGCTTCAATTCCCCCATTGAGGGGAAGAGGGGAGGGCAGGTGGGTGATGGGGAGCCCCAAATCACACTGCAGCATCTTCTGGGGGAGAGTTTGTAGATCAGCATGCCCATTCACTGGCCGATGTCTTTTTGAGCATGAGGAAAAGAAGAGGCCTAGTTTGTTTAGTAAGATAAAATCAGTGCTTCTCTAGAAGTGAGACATGGGAAAGTGCCCCAGCAGCAGGATGCAAGGGCTGAGACCCTGGGTCAGAGCTGTAGGATGTCTGGCCACAGACCCATGTCCATGTGCAATGGCTATGGCAGAGGCAGAAGCCACTGCTAAGCTCAGAGATAAATATGCAATTTTCAGTGCTCTCTAAATTGGCAAAAAAAAAAAAAGAAGAAAAAGAAAAAGAAAAGAAAAGAAACCCCCCAAACCCCAAAATTAAACAACAACAACAACAACAACAACAACAACAATTAAGTCTCTGTGCTTCTCTGCTGTTCCTTTACTGGTTGCTACATTGGCTGCAACACTGTTTAACACGGTTACTTCTATTTGGATTCATTGCCTGAGTACAAAGTATAGAAAATTAAGCCAAACATTTTATTTATTTATTTATTTATTTCTGGTTATTCTTTCTGTCTTTCTTTCTTCCTTCCTTCCTTCCTTTTTTTTCCCAATCTACTATGCTTTGGAAGCACATGAAAACCTACATCTCCATTAAAACTCCAGAAATACAGTTATTTCCTTATTTCTAGAGGAGGAAGCAGGTTCTGAAATGGGCAGGCTTCAGGGCTGGGGAGAAATCCTGACCCTGAAATTCACTACTTGTGAAATTTTGAGGAAAATTATTTCACTTTCGTAGCTTCCTTATATCTGAATATATTAGGAATAACACCAAGGATAGTATTGACTTCAAAATGCTTCCTTGTGCTTTTCTTAAGACACCCTGGGTACAGCRGGTGCAGGGCCTGGCCACACTGTGTTCTGCAGTAAGCTTTCCTATGTGACCTCCCAAGCTCTCACGCTGCTAGTCTGGGGACCACACTTGGGTGGTGGAGTCTCAAGTCTACGGGGACATGCTGAGTGGCCTGGGCAGTGGGGAGGAGGAAACACTACGGGAGCTGGTTTTGTGTCCTACATCAACCTCATCACAGACCAAGTCATAGTCCCTGGCCACCAGCCTCATCCTATTGCAGCCAGCTTTACCCCAGAGAGGACAGGTGCGACCTACCCTACCATACAGCCGTGCCCAGCGGGCAGAGAACACGTGCTTGCAGAGCCTGGATGAGCCCCCGCAGCTCCTCCTGCCGGTGGTGGCATTAATAATCTCCAGGTCCGMGTTGCCCACGACCCAGTTCACACTGAAGTGGGGCGACTTCCCTGGCTGCCGGGCCTCTGCATAACTCACTCCTGTCAAGAGAGAGATAGGAAGCAGCAAGCATTAACATCCCGGCCCTGCACGGGCCTCCCTCCAGAGCGCATCCTGGGCGGTGACCCTAGTGCAGAGTCACACATGTCATTCCGCTTTCCATCTTCAAAACGAGGGCAGTTCACGTTGAGGTGATTGTACTTGTAAGACTGGAGGGTGGAAATCAAGCACGGCCCTGAGGACAGTTTCATGCTCAAAAGTCACTTCTGGTCTCTGTTTTTAACCTTTCAATTTAAAGGATTTTTATGGGCAGTTTTGTAATAATTAAAACTCAGCCCAGGTTTTTTTCCCCTTCTCTAAATGTTTGTTGAGTGAATTAATGAACAAACAGAACCACGTATAAACAAGTTAAGAAAGTGTGTTTATTTGGCACTCACTGCATGCCCAGCCCTCTTCAAGGTAAAACACTGGGTGGTAAATAATACCAGGCAGATCCTTAGGCTTATAGTTTAATTGATAAGAAAAAAAAACACCCACTAATATAAACAAGAGAGATATATGAGTATGGGAAAACAAACAATGCAGAAATAGCACTGACTACAAAATTTGCAAGCCTCACTGCAAAAATAAAAATGAGAGGCCCCTTGTCTGAAAGTTATCAAGAGTTTTAAGAYCACAGCAGAATATGGATCCAAATGTAGGTTCTACTAAGCTCAGATTCCTGGGGTGAGTCATGCGTCCATGAAACTGGTGCTGCCAAGAAGCATCCAGATTTTCCAGGGAAGTCCTTGTTTTAAGGTGAATTTCCCCTTGTCAGACTGTCCACCGTGCCTTTGAATTGGAGTCCACCAACCTGGTGGTCCCAGCCTCCTACAGCAGAGCAGAGGGAGAAAGCAGAGCCCTCTCACTTTTCAGTCTGGGGCCAGCCACACTTCTCAGCTCCTAACCTCAGCCCAGTATCAACTCGTGCCCAGCCACCCTGCAGTGCTCCCCCTGCTGATCAGGACTTCCTGAAGATGCTGGGTGAGGTGTCTGGTGAGCATGTGCCTGGCTTTCCTCGTYCAGGGACGCCATCCTGAGGATCCCAACCGTCTAATATTGTGGTGCTGCTTTGCTTCCCATATGTTGTCTTTCTTCTTGCCTCCTGAAGGTTATGTTTGCCAACCTGTGACCTTGGGGAGGTCCCCATGCTGCAGTAGTTTGRAGGCGAGATGCCCCAGATGACCATGGCCAGATGGTTTCCACGTGCTGGACTTCCTTGTGGCAACCCTGAGCGTAATAGATTTGACCCTCATCATTTCTAGAGGCTGTGCCATATGGTCCAGTCTCTGCTGAGTCTCATGGTCCAACCATAAAAATTARTAGAGAAGGAATTTAGTCTCTGTTCACTCCAAGAAAATTCTGGGATGTTTGGTTTGTAACCCAGAAACCCTGGTCACGTGCCTCCTATCAGTGCCTCTTGAATCTCTCACCACACCCAGGGTCCCTTCAGCGTCTCCATGATACCTTCTCCAAACTCAGCCCAGCTGGACCTCTCKGCTCCCTTGTCCATTTTCACCTTATGAAGGTCGGTCCTGACGATCTAGCCCTGCCCATGTCTCCATGTGCCTTGGGTCCTACTTTTCAGCAGGATGAATGAGGGAAAGGGATGCAGCAGAGCCTCTCAGGTACAGACCCTGCAACCTGGAGAGATGGGAGCCTGCAGAGAAGCCAAGAGCTTTTGGCAGGTACACTGAGTTTAGGCCACTGGGATGGCTGCTCAGAAGTCCCAGCCATGTGTTGCTGATGTTGGTGGAGAAGCCCAGGTGTTGGGATAGCAGTCCAGGTGCCAAGCACTGGCTAGATGAGCACAGTGCAAGTCCTGCAGCAGACTCCCCATGTGGGAACTGTTCCCGTGCTGAGTGGAAGCTCAGCACACAGTGCCTTTGTGGACACAGCCTTCATTTAAATTCTGGGGAAGAGCTCATCAACTCAGAGCTGCAAAGCCACAGACCTCAGGATCCTTCTATGTCCCCAGCTTCACCCCAGGGCCAGGGGCTTCTTGAATAGAACAGAGGCCAGTCTCTGAGTACACTGACATCTGAGTTTTCTGTCTGCCACTTACATAGCCTGGACTTCAGACTGAAAGTCACCCTATGACCTTCCTCTGGTCATGCATGGCCAGTGTTGGGTGTTTAGGCTAATTCTATTTGTGTCAGCTTTTTCCTAGAAGTGATTCTTTGTGGCAGCTGCCYACCCCTGAGAGCTGGGCAGAGGGGACAATCTGGCCCATTGGCAGCCATGGGCTGTCCTACTGGGCAGGGACCACCTTGGCAGGAGGAGGCAGCTGCTGAGGTCAGGGATGACTGGGTATCAAGAGAGACGGTCATTGCCCCAGATTTATGTAGCCAGGCTCAGCAGCATGGCCGCCTCCTTGTCCTCCTTCTCCTCTCCCCTCCCCTCCCATCCCTCTAGTCTCTACAATGGTCAGGGCTGACCACTGAGGCTCAGAGCTTGGTTTTCTCCAAGGTGCTAAACTCTGACCTCAGAGGAAACCCTGGAGTGCTTGATGTCATCATGGGACATGCCCGGCTCCTGGCAGGGCGCGTCGCCTCCTGCCCTCTTCTCTGTGTGTCAAAGTGTTGCTGGCTCTCAGCGCACAGACACCTGCTTTGGAGAGGGCCCAGCTGCAGCCTCACTGGGCTCTGCTCCCAACATCTTTGGCTGCCAGCCTCACGGGGGCCCAGATAGCACTGGGAAGGCAGCCATGAGGGTGCTCATGTCAACTTTGCATGCGCTCTGCTCCACATTGTGTGGGGGGGGGGGACAAAAGGGAAGGAAGGAAGGAACACAGGACGTGCTGCGAGGGAAGGTGTGGTTGATGGGGCCCTGGGATTCCACTTGCAGACAAGGCTTGTGCCTCAGGAATCTGGAGACTTGAGTCCAGGCTCATCTTCTCTCTGGGACCCTTTTTCTTTTTCTTCCTTTGCTTTCTGACAGGGTAACTTTGTTTCACAAGGTGATGTGAAGATCAAACAGGACAGATAAGAGCACTTTTAAGGAATCAAGTATTATGGGCATTGTTATTTCCATCTGGAGGAAGATTTAAAGGTCACCTCTAGTTTGTTTAGTGCTTTCAAAGTCACACAGATCAAAAAATGTTCCCAGTTACTCCATTCTCTGGAACAATTAGGTAATAACCCCATTCACTTAGATACACCTAATTATTYTGGGGAATGGAGAACTCATTGACCAAAGGCTAGGATGTCTTTTCTGTTAAACATTTTTGTTTTCATATGTGTTTGTTCAACATATGGCCTTAATACCTCTGTAGGAGACCTAATTGTCTACTTATACTTTGAGCCTCTAGTTTAAGGATTATCTCCCTTCTGTCCTTTGTTTGCAACAACAACAACACAAAAGACTTTCCAAAGCAACCTGGAAGAATGACAATCTCGCCATCCACCTTTAAAAATAAATCCACCATAAAGATAAAGCRCTTGGAATGTTTACTAAATATTCATGCCAGCAGTACAATTTTTGACATCACTGTAATTAACGATTGCTGCTGATTATAGCCAAGGAGATGAAGCCACTGTGCCAGACTCACTTGAATCTAATATGTAAATTTACCAACATACAACAGAACAAACAATTACCTCACAGAACATTCATGTCAGTCTGACGTGATGTTCTCTTTCTGCAGGCAAACCCTGCACGGATATGAATCTCCTGGTCACTGTGATGGAGCTAGGGATAGTAGTTGTATTGCCCAAACATTGACCAGCACCAGGCTACTTCTTTACTCCAGAGGGATGAGTCCTCCTGGAAACAGGTGTGAAAGCTCTGGGGTGGCTATCTTTTCCTACCTGTCATGAAACCTCTTGCCAATCTGTGCTACTTTGATTTGCTTTTCTACTTTCCTGTTTCAGGATGATTCTCTCCATTTCTCCCTTGATCTTGTATCACATCAACATATATAATTCCTCAGCTGAGCTGATCTTCTGGATATATATTAACAGGATTCAGTAGGTAGCCCCTATTTTACTTGTTTGTTTCATCCTGGAGGAGATTCTTGGTTTCAAAGGAACCTTCTTCACATATAGGAATGACCTCACTGTTTCTATATTGATTTTATCATTTTATATTGACTCTCTGGGTGCTGTTTCATAATTTGTGCCTGTCAGCATGTACCCAGGATCCTCCATGGAGCRTTTTCAAGAGCTCATTCATCCATTTTCTCACACTGTATTTATTGAGCCTTTTCAGGCCAAGGAGCATTGGGATTTTGAAACTTAGGGCCCAGACTGTCTAACTCAGTGTTGAATCGTATGTGATATCTAGATGGTACTGGACAGGATGAGAACCTGTTTGCTCAAATCTAGAAATGAAAGTCTGGTTTGTATTTATGTGTTTAATTTTTTTTTTCTCTCTATGGTTAGGCACTTTGAAAAGGAAAGAAGAGTGTAAATTCCTGGGGTATACTTCCTGAAGTAGACATCAGACATGAAATGATTTAAGACTAAACTGGAGTCCCAAGGACATAGTAAATGACAGTCCCAGGTGTACCTGACTAAGACCTGCTCCACATGTTCCTCAAGACAACACATTAGCACATGCCTGGAAATCTAATGCACTCAGAAAGTATAATAGCATCTCCTGTCCTCACTTCACAGCATGAAGCCCCTCAGAAGGTTCTTCAGCCGTCTCCCTCCAGTGAAAGACAGCAATGGGTCAGAGTGTGACAGCTGACCTGGTACCCCGAGTCCTGGTTCAGATTTTAGGGCAGCACTTTTGTGGTCTGAGCCCAGAAAACCTGAACACTGTGCCAATGGTGTGCCAAGAAGAAAAGAATGTCCTCATCGTGAACCCATGACAGACCAACACTCAGACACCGCCATGTGGTAAATGGCGTTGGCTTAAGTCTGTGGACTTCATTACACACCCATGCTTGGGCCTCCTGTTCTTCTCTGCAGATGGTCCTAAATAAGGTTCCGGGCACTTGTTCCCTGACATCCAGAAATCAAACCAAATCAAAATAAAACTAAATAGGAGCCTTGGA